GAGGTGGGTGTCAGAGAGAAGCTTAGTAACCTCCTCTGTGGTGACAGGGTCAAAAGAGGAAAGTAACAAGTGTGATGGAGGATCAGGTACTATAATAAAAGGAGCAGTTGATTGGACAGTGGCGATCTGATCTCGAATGGTATCTATTTTGTTTTTGAAATGAATGGCAATGTCCTGGGCAGTGAGTGAGTTAGTGGGTGGTGGTGGTGGAGGACATAGTAGAGACTTGAAGGTAGAAAAGAGTTGACGAGGTCTGGATGAGAGTGTGTTAATGAGAGTGACAAAATAAGTTTGTTTGGCAGCACGGAGGGAGGAGTTTTATTTTATCAGGGCAGCTTTGTACAGGGTAAAGTCTTGCAGAGACCTAGTTCTCCGCCACAGTCGCTCAAGAGCGCGGCTTTGTCTTTTTTGATGTTTGGTAACTTCAGTTTGCCACGGTTGTAGCGGGCGTGGTCTAAGTCTGCGTGTTGTGAGGGGAGCCAAGGTGTCTAGAGAGGATGAGAGTGAGTTGTTAAAAACAGAAGTAGCCAGGTCAGGGCAGGACAGGGGTGAGATTTTGTCAAAGAGGGAGTCAGTAGCAGAGTGGAGAAGAGAAAGGTCGAGGTGGTGGAGGTTTCTTAGCAGGGTAGCAGGGTATCTGGTTGACGAATATCCCCGACTACCAGTGGTGTATGGACTACCTAAAATCCACAAAGGCTTATATCCATTAAAATTCCGCCCTATTGTGTCAGGTACAGATTCAGTTACGCAACCCATGGCCAGGATGTTAGACACTATACTACAGCTTCTTGTTAAGAAACTGCCAGCATATACCAGGGACACCAGTCACTTTCTTCATAAACTCCAGCAATTTAACACTGCTCATGCCGATTGGCATTTGGCCACGATGGACATTTCGTCCTTATACACCTGCATCCCTAATGAATCTGGTCTTGATGCAGTATTATATTTCTTGAGGCCTACCAAACATGACACTATGCCTGTGGAGTTTATTTTGTTATGCTTGAGCACTAAGTGTGCTATGCTACTTTTTTGCATGTACGTAAGTAAATAGACGTATTATATCTGCTATTGGAGTGCCAGTGTCCATATTCTTTTGCAGAATTTTGTCTAGGACACAATACTTCCACATGTGGCACAATTTATTTTAAACATGGAAGAGGTCTTATTTACCTCTGATTTTTTGGCCACCAATATGGCGGTATTTCTCAATAAATTTGTCACAGCCATAGTGGGAATACTGTTGCCCAGTTGTTGCAAAACTTTCTAACACAGCCATACCACCAGAAAAGTGTCACAAATTGTTTATTGAAGACAATATCTTATGACAGACCTTCTGCTTCTGAAAAAGAATATTCTGGTTTAACAAATTTTCCTGTTTAAAGAAGAGCTCCAGGTGAAAAAAAATAAATGTAACCCTTGCAGTGGGGCAATCCCCACACTGCAATGGTTAAGTGCTTGTTTGTGTCCAGGAAAAGGGAAACAAAAAACAAGAAACAGCAACACAATACACACACACAGGCTTCTTAGACTGTCCTTCTTAGACTGTCTCTCTCCTCCACCTCTGCAACGTTCTAAGGTCCCATAAATCATCACATTCTATACATTGTGTATAGATGCGAGGATGCAGAGGAAGAATCCAATGCTGCAGTGGAGGAGCAGAGAGGCAAGAGGGAGAAACCTAGACACAAATGAGCACTTAACCCTTGCAGGGTGGGGATAGCTCCACTGAAAAGGTTAAGAAAAAGTTTTCCTGGAGTACTTCTTTAAGGAAGGAATGAAGGAGCATGTAGACAGTCCCTGTGCTGGTTTATCTGGGGGGAAAACAAGAACATTTGACGATATGGAAAATACTGCAGGAGCACAGAGACCGAGTAACTGTAGAATAAGGAGTAAGAGCCTTATTTGTAGGAACATGATAACATGCCTACCCTTGTAGCAACATGATACTACTGGAGTGCCCAAAAGTTTAAAATCGACAAGGGACTCCATTTACTGTAACTAGAATTCAATCCTTTACTACTTACATAACTGTTGTAGGATTCTGTTAATTGAGGCACAATCACTTCTGTGTGTCCCTTCGTCCCCATTGTTCCTGAGTCGAGAAGTGGACGCATGTTGGACACTGCCCGACTGTAAGAAGAAGTAGAAGTCCATAACTTGTAACACCTAACTGGTGTGTAAAGATGAAGCCTAGATGTATGAGGGAACACCTCCATAGCAAAATGTTCAGTGTTAGGTCTAGCATTTATTAATAGTGAATCCTGAAAGTGGACACACACAGGCCTTTTAGAAGATGCACTCTTTATATGGGTTGAACATTCAACTTTCCAAAAGCATTCTACCGCAACCTGTTGCTATCTAGTGGCTGTGGTGAAACTACACATTTCAGCACACTTTCAGAAAGGCTAAGTTACAAAAGAATAGCAAAGAAAACCCATGCAACAAGTGTATTCTTATCCATGGAAAACAATCGCATTCCTGACTGTATGCTTTAGGCAACATTTGGTCAAGTTTTCTTTGCACTACATTTTGTAAGTCAGCCCCTATGACTACATGTTTATACTGGGACTTCCTCAACAACAGGTTCTTCAACTTCAGAGCAGACACAGTGCCAACAAAGTGCTGACTAACACTGTCACATATAGAAGCATACACATATATTTCAGTTGAAGTGAGTTGTGGAAGCACTGAGATAAACAATTTGCTGTATACATAGATCATTAAAAGGAGAACTATGAGATGAGTGATTTTCACTCAGCCTCATAATCTGAGCCGACCTGTGACAATGAAACTGTCACAGGTCGGCTCAGTAGATCGTGAAGTGAGCGAACACATACAGTCGCTCACTTCTCGATCTGTCCCTGCAGAGAGCCGTGACTGTCACTCATGGCTCCCTGCAGGGATCCCCCCTCCCCTGTCCTCCAGCGCTGACTGGCGGAACGGACAGGGGTGGGTACAGCTGGCTCTGCCTCTAGATAGGCAGAGCCAGCTGTCACTCACGCAGCTGGGTGGATCCAGACAGAATTGTCGGGATTCGTTCCGGCGCCTCAGTATACCGCGAGCTGCAGCTCGCCGTATACTGAGCTTTGGGTGACGGGAGGACGCTAGTTAGTGTCCTACCGTTACCCTTAGTTCTGGGGAAAAGCCCTAACCCCATAGTTCTCCTTTAATAGAGTAGATGCAAACCGTTTTTTTTCTTCAAGCTTTTAGTTCACTTTGGTGTTTTTTTAAACAATTAAAGGAGAACTATGAGGCGAGTGCTTTCCACTTACCCTCATAGTTAGAGCTGACGTATTGCAATACAACTGTCGCACGTCGGCTCTATAGATTGGGAAGTGAGCGAATCGATGGACATTTCGTCCTTATACACCTGCATCCCTAATGAATCTGGTCTTGATGCAGTATTATATTTCTTGAGGCCTACCAAACATGACACTATGCCTGTGGAGTTTATTTTGTTATGCTTGAGCACTAAGTGTGCTATGCTACTTTTTTGCATGTACGTAAGTAAATAGACGTATTATATCTGCTATTGGAGTGCCAGTGTCCATATTCTTTTGCAGAATTTTGTCTAGGACACAATACTTCCACATGTGGCACAATTTATTTTAAACATGGAAGAGGTCTTATTTACCTCTGATTTTTTGGCCACCAATATGGCGGTATTTCTCAATAAATTTGTCACAGCCATAGTGGGAATACTGTTGCCCAGTTGTTGCAAAACTTTCTAACACAGCCATACCACCAGAAAAGTGTCACAAATTGTTTATTGAAGACAATATCTTATGACAGACCTTCTGCTTCTGAAAAAGAATATTCTGGTTTAACAAATTTTCCTGTTTAAAGAAGAGCTCCAGGTGAAAAAAAATAAATGTAACCCTTGCAGTGGGGCAATCCCCACACTGCAATGGTTAAGTGCTTGTTTGTGTCCAGGAAAAGGGAAACAAAAAACAAGAAACAGCAACACAATACACACACACAGGCTTCTTAGACTGTCCTTCTTAGACTGTCTCTCTCCTCCACCTCTGCAACGTTCTAAGGTCCCATAAATCATCACATTCTATACATTGTGTATAGATGCGAGGATGCAGAGGAAGAATCCAATGCTGCAGTGGAGGAGCAGAGAGGCAAGAGGGAGAAACCTAGACACAAATGAGCACTTAACCCTTGCAGGGTGGGGATAGCTCCACTGAAAAGGTTAAGAAAAAGTTTTCCTGGAGTACTTCTTTAAGGAAGGAATGAAGGAGCATGTAGACAGTCCCTGTGCTGGTTTATCTGGGGGGAAAACAAGAACATTTGACGATATGGAAAATACTGCAGGAGCACAGAGACCGAGTAACTGTAGAATAAGGAGTAAGAGCCTTATTTGTAGGAACATGATAACATGCCTACCCTTGTAGCAACATGATACTACTGGAGTGCCCAAAAGTTTAAAATCGACAAGGGACTCCATTTACTGTAACTAGAATTCAATCCTTTACTACTTACATAACTGTTGTAGGATTCTGTTAATTGAGGCACAATCACTTCTGTGTGTCCCTTCGTCCCCATTGTTCCTGAGTCGAGAAGTGGACGCATGTTGGACACTGCCCGACTGTAAGAAGAAGTAGAAGTCCATAACTTGTAACACCTAACTGGTGTGTAAAGATGAAGCCTAGATGTATGAGGGAACACCTCCATAGCAAAATGTTCAGTGTTAGGTCTAGCATTTATTAATAGTGAATCCTGAAAGTGGACACACACAGGCCTTTTAGAAGATGCACTCTTTATATGGGTTGAACATTCAACTTTCCAAAAGCATTCTACCGCAACCTGTTGCTATCTAGTGGCTGTGGTGAAACTACACATTTCAGCACACTTTCAGAAAGGCTAAGTTACAAAAGAATAGCAAAGAAAACCCATGCAACAAGTGTATTCTTATCCATGGAAAACAATCGCATTCCTGACTGTATGCTTTAGGCAACATTTGGTCAAGTTTTCTTTGCACTACATTTTGTAAGTCAGCCCCTATGACTACATGTTTATACTGGGACTTCCTCAACAACAGGTTCTTCAACTTCAGAGCAGACACAGTGCCAACAAAGTGCTGACTAACACTGTCACATATAGAAGCATACACATATATTTCAGTTGAAGTGAGTTGTGGAAGCACTGAGATAAACAATTTGCTGTATACATAGATCATTAAAAGGAGAACTATGAGATGAGTGATTTTCACTCAGCCTCATAATCTGAGCCGACCTGTGACAATGAAACTGTCACAGGTCGGCTCAGTAGATCGTGAAGTGAGCGAACACATACAGTCGCTCACTTCTCGATCTGTCCCTGCAGAGAGCCGTGACTGTCACTCATGGCTCCCTGCAGGGATCCCCCCTCCCCTGTCCTCCAGCGCTGACTGGCGGAACGGACAGGGGTGGGTACAGCTGGCTCTGCCTCTAGATAGGCAGAGCCAGCTGTCACTCACGCAGCTGGGTGGATCCAGACAGAATTGTCGGGATTCGTTCCGGCGCCTCAGTATACCGCGAGCTGCAGCTCGCCGTATACTGAGCTTTGGGTGACGGGAGGACGCTAGTTAGTGTCCTACCGTTACCCTTAGTTCTGGGGAAAAGCCCTAACCCCATAGTTCTCCTTTAATAGAGTAGATGCAAACCGTTTTTTTTCTTCAAGCTTTTAGTTCACTTTGGTGTTTTTTTAAACAATTAAAGGAGAACTATGAGGCGAGTGCTTTCCACTTACCCTCATAGTTAGAGCTGACGTATTGCAATACAACTGTCGCACGTCGGCTCTATAGATTGGGAAGTGAGCGAACACATATCGTCAATCCGCTCACTTCCCGATCATCTATATGCAGAGAGCAGTGACTGTCACTGCTCCCCGCAGGTATTTTCCCCCTCTCCTCTCTGATCCTCCAGCGCTGACTGGAGGAACGGTGAGGGAGGGGCCGGGCACATCTGACTTTGCCTCTAGGCAGAGCCAGCTGTCACTCACGCAGCTGCTTGGATCACAACAGTACTGTTGGGATCCGACCCGGCTGCGGCGCTCTCAGTATATAGCGGGCAATATACTGAGCTTTGGGTCACAGGAGGGCGTTAGTATAGGTCCTCCGTGACCCTAAACAGAACTATGGGATTAAAAAAAAAAATTACCCCATAGTTTTCTTTTTAAGAAAAAATTTACAATCCTATCTGTGCAACTTTCTTTTATGTGTGCAGCTGAGGTAAAAGCAAATTTTGCGCAACCCTTTGTACATCTCCCCCTTTGTTCCTGAATCAGCAAACATAAAACAAAGAAAAGTGCTTTAATAGGTCGATGGTGGAAGTAGATGACAATGATGAGAATTGGGATGGGATGGTGGAGCGGCCAGGGAAGGCAAACTGAATAAAGTGGATGTAAAGTTCTCATTAGCAAATTAAGGTTAGTGGTATATGATTATACAAGTCATGCTGTGCTTACCATAAAGAGAAATAAAATGTTGCCAAATACTAGGAAGTATATTGATGACTTGAAATACACAATTTCATAAAAACTATGGGAGTGTCAATGAAATAATAACACATAATAAAATAACACTATCCAGGCCTCTAGTTCCTGACGTTTCCATCATGGGATGCGGTAAGCCTCAACATGATCCAACTCATATCTTGTCAATGGGGGTAATTCATCAAAACTGTAGAAGACAAACTCTGGAGCAGATTTGCATTGCAACCAATCAGCTTTTCTCTCTCTCTCTCATTTTCGAATCCCAACTGAGCAAACTGAAGAGATGCTGATTGGTTGCCCTGGGCGTCTGCTCCAGTTTTGATAAATTCCTCCCAATGTGTTTTCACTTAGACTTAGATAGACCATGGCTCACAGGATCCAAGCTTTCTGGGTGAATCCTATATCAGGACTGCTGGGAACTGTACATATATTTTTTCACAGCACTAGTCCAGCAAGAATGCTGACTGCACCTGATAAAAAGTTTTAGGGAATAATATTATGGAAAATGTAATAAAAATGACAATATATTGTGAAACATTAAAAAAGCCACACTTCACATGGAAAGAAATAATGGTTTCTCTTTTGGATAATGCGGTTTCACCTAAATATAATAAGAGATCATTCTTACAGTATGTCATACATAAGTGACAGATGAAGCAATTGGTCATCTCATAAGTGAGAAATCTACAGATATCTACCTGTCTACATATCTTCTGGCCTCCACATTGTCCAGTGCATTCACAATGATGTCTTGTCTGAGGTAAAACTCATCTCTATAGGTATTCTCTGTGGCAGGACACACCTTATCCAGCCGCGGATCTATTTTTAACTCTGGGTTGATGTTTATGGTTGCAGCAGCAGCAGTACAACTTTTAGGTTTCTAGAAAGGCAGAATAAAAATATTTCATTGTTAATTCACTATGCATGAAAGCTATTTAAAAGCGGGTGGTGGCGTTATCATGTTTAAAGCCAACCTAGGGTACTTAGGACATCTAGTGATGAAAAATACGAAAGGGGGACACAACAATGGATTGAGGGTGAGTATTGAAGCATTTTAATTTTGTTGGTGTTTAAAACATGTCAACTGTAATAAAAAAAAAAAAATTATGGAGAGTTGGCTTCACTTGCCAACTCTATTTTTCTCTATAAATTGGGGGGCTGCATAACTAGATAAATACAAGCAGAAATATAAACTGGCCAGATACCAAGAAAAAGATGGTAACCTAAAAAAATGAATGAGTGTGAATGGGACCAGTTCACACCGCTCTGTTCTGTTGCGGTGCAGTGTGCTGAAAAAAGTAGAGCATGCTCTACTTTGTTTCAACGCAACATAACGGACTGTGTCAAAAATTGAATGCAACAGAATGAAAGTAACAAAAAAAAAAACAAAAAAACACACACACGTTTGTCCATTTAGGACATATTAACTAAAATAACGGATGGCAAAAATGAAAAAAAAAAAAACTAAACACCTCAGCAGAACGGAAACTGAAGTCAACAAAGATTGCACGTAAACAGACCTCCATCGACTTACATTTTAGGTCCAATTTGGGTGTGAATGGGTCCTAAAGCTGGCCATACACTGGTAGATTTTTGTAAAAACTTCCATATGAAAAATCTTATCATAACATTCAATAATGCTATCAAAGACTTCACAATTGTCATTCCTAATGTTTGTTTGAATTTAACATTTTATTTTGGAATGAATGGAGTTTCCAGAACGAAAACCAAATTTTTACATTTCTACCACAATTCTCTATCCTGTCACTTCAATTTGTTTTCATCACTATGAATGAAATGGATTGTCAAATTGACCCCTTTAACTATTAGCATTTAATTCTAAAACCTTTGTTTTCCAACCGTGTATACCCAGCTTTACTCTTCTCCACCCTCAAAAGTTATTTTATTGCTGTGTTATCTTTGGATTACCCCTTGAGTGCAAAAGGGCAAAGCAGCTGATAAAAAGAAAAATGAAACCAAATAAAATTAGGGAAAGCCTTCTGATTGGACACTACAGCTCCTAAAAAAGGTACAAAATACCTGGTCAGGAGGAGATAAAAGGAGTAAATCAGTCAGGGTGTACATTGTCAATAAATCAATCAGGTTGTGTATTTATTGGTTTGCCGTCAGTTCACCTTAACAAGTGACATGGAAAACATTGGTATGGCACAACTGGTAAACCTGGTAACAGCTCCATCAGACATAAGCTATGTAAACATACCTGAATGTGGTGAGGTCGGAAGAGAAACTGCCTGTTCAAGTTTGATTTTTCAATCAAGTCGGGGTCAGTAACTGTGACCTAAAAGCAAACAAAATAACTGAACATATGTATTTCATTATGTATTATGTGTACATAAAAAGAAGTGTTAAACAAAAAAGAAAACTTGGGAGAACACCTGAATATGTGCTGAGCAAATAAATGAATACAGTAGATGTGCTGCTAAGTTTTATATTTCAGTCAAAATAGAAGGAAAAAAATAAAATTCAGATATCATAAGTAATATTTACCTTTACCATATCATATAGCCAAGGCAGACAACAACCAGAAGCTGCCTTCTGTAGAAGCTTTTAGCTGTAAAATGGTGCCATCAGGTAAGAGTAGATAAAGGTTTGCAAATCCACAATAGCTAGAAAGTTTTAATATGTGCAATGTGCCTGTAAAACTCTACTCACTAGTAAACAGCATACAGAAAGCGACCATTACAGCTACTGATAATTTAGTTTCTGGGAAACCTACCCAACACTACCATGTGACTGGTACTGGAAGCTCAAAAGATTCTATTCTACACATTCTGGGTTCTCTGCTTAAATCACTGACTGACATCATATGAGGTATAATAACTATGATAAAACAATGTGCTGTCCTCATGTCACACCAATTCGTTGATGTAAACATAGTCCCAATGGACTAATGAAATATTATATGAAAGTAAAGGTGCCTAGTGTCACTACTCTCTATGGATAGCGAGTGCTTCAGAATAGAGGACTTCCCACTGTTTCACAGAGGAAACAGAAGTAGATAGAAGAGGTCTGTTTTAGGTGGAAAACGCCTTTTTAAAAACACACAGAGGGAAAAAAAAATGGTAATATGGCCTCACGAATTCTAAAAACCATTACAAGGATAATCTACAGGTCAAATGCTTACCAATCCTCTCTCTGAGCCAGAACCAACCCCAAGAAGTGCAAAATTTTTCAGCATTTCACAACCAATAGCACCGCATCCAACCTGCAAAAAGTAATTTAGTAGCCATATTAGATGCAAAATCCATCCTGAAAACAGACATTTTTTTTTTTTTTTTAATAGCCATTAATTGGATTCCACTTAATATTCCATTAACCCTGTCATGAACAGATGCCCACACCAAAGTTTAATTCACCATTGGTTAGCTCAATATAAACTCTTATTTTGCTACCCAATTCATTTTTACACTTTTTAGCGACATAAAAGTTTTTTTTATTTTAATATACCATTTTAATAAATATCTTGCTTTATTCTGAAGTGACGAAATGTAATAAAAGTGCATTTCTATTTAACATATTTTCTAAAATATGAAAAATCGATCTAAAGTCAAAGCTTTTTTTTGTTTTTATTTGGACAGAGTATATGGTTATCGGTAATTGGTATCGGCAAGTACATGAGGGCCAGTACTTGTACTTGGTCTTAAAAAAGTGGCATCGGGACATCCCTAGTTAAAACCTTTCATTTTTGGTCTTTAGATACACTTTAACATGACCTCGATCTCAGTGAACTGCAAGATGCACAGTGCTATCTAAAGGCTGCAGAGGTTTGTTTGTAAATCACGAACCATGTTGACCGATTCCTGAATTTTCAACTGAAACGTACAGCCGTCAATGATGGTGTTGTCTATGAACTAGCAGATTATATATGGAATGAGGATTACATTTCCCTCAGCACAGGAAACAGTGCCTAAAAATGATTCAGACTGTGGTCATAAAGAGCTTAAACTTCACAAATCATCTAGTATATATAGCCGCTCCCTATAAAGGAGTTATAATAAAATATAGCCTGCCCCTGTAGATCTTCTGAAATATTAGCAAACACAAAATTGCTTTATTATCAAAATTAAAACGTGCAATTGCACCATTGGTGTAGTTACACTTATATGAGAGCATTTGCTGCCCCCTCCCAGTTTTCTAACTTTTCCCAATCCAGCAAAATGTGTTGACACATAAAAAAATAGAAATATTCACACAAGTAGTTTGGGGTTTTAGAGTGCACTCATTGAACATATATTCTTCACAACATCTTAAAATGTTAAAGCTTTATTGAGATGCACACTATTACAAATCACCAATAATAAAAAAAAAAAACCACACACACACACAGCATCCTAGCCCCCCTCCCCCACAAGTCAAACCTCCCGCATCCACTGCATCTTATAGCAAATTTTGGACATTAGTGCATCATCCAGTGTTCAGCAATAACATCTCATGTATAGATAACTTATCAATTGTACTTAACAGTGGTATGCTTTCTTCCCATGATACTGGAAGGAGATCTAAAAGCAAAATATGTATATTGGCAGTAAATCTGTGATTAAGATACCCTATATGATTGGCTATTGGATTTTCCAGATCTGTTTGTTACTTGGACTCTGGGAATTGGGACATGTGCTCACATTGAACTATGGGAGGGATATTGTTGTACCGTTTGGGGACTTAACCTATCAACGGAAGATTGGAAGTAATTATACTAGGGGTGCGGAAATTAACGATTAATCCGTCGATTAATCGTTAATTTCTTTGATCGATCAAAATTATTTTGATCTATCAAAGTACTCACCCCCCCTGCCGGCTTCCGTTTGAGATACGGTTACGTCACGGACATCGACGTCACCGGACTCCTCCCCCCCTCCCCGAGTGGCTCTGTCGGCTAACGAAGGGAAGGGGGGAGGAGTTGGGTGATGTAGTTGTCCGTGATTGGTAACGAAGGGAAGGAGGGAGGAGTCCGTTGATGTCGATGTACGTGACGTCACCGGACTCCTCCCCCTTCCCTTCGTTACCTCAGCTGCGAGGACCCAGCAGCAGACACCTGATACAGAGACACGCCTCGATGTTCCCGGCCGCTGTCCCCCCACGCTGGTATGTTTTTTTACAGCACCCTGCTCAAGCTATAGAACATGGAATAGAATATGGCTGAAACTGACTATATTCTATTCCATGTTCTATAATGTCATTGTACTACTAGGAAACTACAAGTCGGCAGTTCAGCTGCGACTTGTAGTTCCCTGTATGATAGAAGGCTATTTTAATTACTGTCCTCATGAAAGTACTAGTAATACAATGTCATTATAGAAACATTGAATAGAATATAGTTGAGTTCAAAAGTTACTGTACTATAATGGCATTGTATTTTCATGAGGAAAGTAATTAAAATAGCCTTGTATCATACAGGGAACTACAAGTCCCAGCATGCACTCACTGCTCCTGTACAACTCTCACATATCACGCAGGGAACTACTGCAGGGGGCTTGCATGCTGGAACTTGTAGTTCCCTGGGTGATTTATGTGGGGGGCGGTGTACAAAGACCATAAGGGCATGCTGGGACATGTAGTTCCCTGGGTGATGTGGAGAGGTGTACAGGGCCAATGAAGGCATGCTGGTTGTAGTTGAACTGCAAGTCCCAGCATGCCTTCATTCTTATATCCCAGGGTCGCAGGCACTGGTGTTCTGCTACTTGGGGGTTGGGGGAAGTCTCCTGGTTCATGAGTGCATCGGATGTGAAAACCAAAGAGAGAAACAAGAAGGCGCAAAACTAGGTCAGCTGACTGCCTGGACCGAACATATCAGGGAAGGTGACAGGAACAATAAATATATATGTATAATGTACTTACTTATGTGGGTCTGGGAACCAGATGTGAACCGGCCTGTGAGGAGGATCAGGATGTCCAGAATGTATGTTGAATGGCGGCTGATATATTGCCTGAGGCTGCCGCCATTCAACATACATTCTGGACATCCTGATCCTCCTCACAGGCCGGTTCACATCTGGTTCCCAGACTCGCATAAGTAAGTACATTATACATATATATTTATTGTTCCTGTCACCTTCCCTGATATGTGCGGTCCAGGCAGTCAGCTGACCTAGTTTTGCGCCCTCTTGTTGTTCCAACAAGGCTGGTTAGACCCCACAGAGCCCTGCTACCCTGGTGAGGCCCCCCTCAAAGCTCTGGTGAGACCCCCCTCTGTATGTGCGTTATAATTAAATCGAAATTAGTCGATTAATCGATTTAAAAAAAATTTGATTAATCGAACAGGAAAATTTCAATCATTACCAGCCCTAAATTATACTAAGGCTTAATTAATCATCTAGGATTGTGATTGGGTGAAACATGCTTAGTGGGATACATTTGTTTATCCATCTATTCTTAGATTGAAGTACCACACAGCGAGATCCAGTTTAGTTCACTTATACCCTCTCTCCCAGGGGCCCATATTAATTCTTCCCTGCACTACAACATGATGTTTGCTTTGCTCTCAACAACATTTGTATTTTTCCCTTTAGTCACAAGACTATATTTATAAAAAGGCAAGTTGTTTCTTGTAGATAACATTTATGTGAATTCAAGATTGAGATTGTTTGACATGCATGATAAATCTGTTTAATAACACTAATTTACAAGAAAAGAAAAAAAATGACATACCAGGAAAACATTCATGTTGTGAATCTTCTTACAAAAAGAGTCTCCAATGCAAGCTCTGAGAGCATCATATCGATCTCCCCTACATAAAAAAAAATACAAATGGTGTCACAATGTCAGCAATCACCTACATGTATTTTAAAAGGGTGTAACTAGGATGTTTTCTGCCCTAGGTATAGATTTTTGAAGTAATGTTCCACCCAACATTAACAATTTAGGATTGTCCTTTTTCCAGAACAGATTAATCAAATCAACATAATTAGCAACTTTATCATCCCATATAATCCATGTACGTGGCAGTCTAGTTCTTATATTCATGTTTTACATATAGGATCTGTATAACTACATATTTTACATTCTACTACGGTTAATGTAGCTACATACAAGTCACCCACATGCAGATTTTTTTTCTTCAGTGTGGATTTTTACAAAAGGCATTTTTGAATAGTCTTTAAAAACCATAAAGAATTCAGTATAGAGAAATGGGCACTTCAAAATGTGAATGTAGGTATGTAGCAACTATACCACTGGAAACTGGCTGGCTCATATATCCAATGCTGTGACATGGGAGCCTGTGCAAATTCTAAGGCCCCACACCTATGCGTTAGGTATTGAATATTTTACCATGTGTTACCACTTTGCAGTGACATTCATTTTTAAACTGAATTTTGCTTATCAACGGTTTGATATGGAATGGCACCCCAAAGTACTATCACATTAATCTCTCTTGCGGAGTCTGTGCAAATGGTAGGGTCCTTCATGGGCAAAGCAGAGACTCACTTTAAAGAAAAATTCTAGAAAGTGTTTTCTTTTTTTCAAATACTTTTTTTCATCTCATTGTTGCATCACAAAAGGAACATGGTGTAAAAGAAAACGTACTTTGTAAAATCAGTAGAATGATAAAAGTGCCGTTATTTGTAATAGAAAGAGTATGAGTTCCTTTCTAATATATATATATACACATTTTTTGCTAACAGTATGTCATAAAGCATGCATATAACATAATTCAGATAACAGAGTATTCAACAACCCTGTAAACATTATTGCTTATAAAAGGTTTATAAAAATTTAGTATACAGTTGCACCATATACAGTACATGGCTTGGCAGCCAAGATACATAGTTGCTCACATTTGGTACTGGGTTAAACTGGGGTCTGCTGTCTTGGTTGTCTAGAATAAGGTAGTTGTTGTTGCTAATGTCTTTTAATGGCTTGTGGTAGCAGCCAGAAATGTGTACATTTGTTGCCAGGTGTGGATGGTTGGGCATTGCCATAGGACATGGTTCAATTAAGGTTTTTGCATTTGGGGCATGCAGTAAGATAGTGGGCGTGCGATTTCTCCCTTTGGCGTAACATTAAAAGTATAGTGTAGTAGGCTCTGTGAAAAATCCTGCACATGCCATGTTTCACTAAGTATGCGTTTTCTGGTGGCCAAACTCTTTGCTAAAAGATCTAGGGTCAGATCAATTGGTAGGTCTAGAAAAGCTTGGACATGAGATTGGGTGTAGAGGGATGTTTTGGGAATTACACAAAGTATCTCTCCAAGAAATGTAATGCTTAGTTTGTGGTTTAGATTTTAGGTATATGCAGGGTGCATGGGAATTGTGAAGTGTGATCGAAGGATTCTGAAGATATTTGGTTGAATATAGCAGGGGATGCAACAGACCAAAACAAGATCCATGGTCGTGTAGATTTGGGTTTCCTGCGTAGTGCTGGTGTAAAAGTTAGTGCCATTTAAACAATCTCTGGCATATCTTGACAGGCTTGCCAAGTTTCATTGATGAGGGAAATAGCCTCCTTCCCCATTTCAGAATAGATTTTATGAGAGAACATATGTTGTACAACTGCAGAGGCTCACAACACACGCACGCTCTGGAATTCGGTGGACAGACCAACTATGCCCGGGGCTTTCAAGTCAACAGAGCTGGGGGACATCCAGCATCACCTCCTCTGTGGTTATCATGCAGTTGAGGTGATGGAGATCATCATTTAAAGAAGTGAGGTACAAGCAATAAAGAAAGTCATCACTGCCTTCAGGATCTATGAATTTGGCTGAATAAAATGTAATTCAGTATTGTGCATAGTTATCTGCAACGTCAGTGGGTTTGGTTTTAACCACACCTTGTGAATTTCTCATGTGATAAAGCTGCCATGGACCAGTCGCCAAAAACCTGCATGATTTACTGCCAAACCTGAAAAATTGCATCTCTTTCAGTACTCCAATATGTCCACAGTATTTCTCGATCCAGAAATTACAGGTCTGCCTACTATAGATTGGGTGGATCTATTCTGGACATGTATGTTGTTTTTATACATATTATATGCATCGCTAGCTGTTGTGCAAGCCGATATATATACGCAGTGAAATCTTTCCTTTTTTAAAGTGGATGAGCAGGCCAATGGCAGGTTGTAAGCTGGTGATTGTTCATTTAGGGATTTTGGACCACGTTTAAGTCTCTACTAATAAGGTGTGATCATGTTGGTTAGTCTCTTCCAAGAATCATGAGCTGCCAGTATTTGGGCAATAGACATTGAATACAGTGATGGTCATTGACGCAAACTTAAGCGTGTCACAGGCCCAATGTCCCCCCACCGAATCATGGCTTAGTGATAAAATTTTAAAAGGCCAAAATGTTTATGGATTAGGATCACAGCTTTACTTCAGGGCACCCAGGATGGATGCCACCCAGAATTTTTATATGTATTGGGATTCATATAAGCGAGTAGAACTACATCAGCATGTAATTTCTCAAGGTGATGCTAGAGTTTGTCTTGTTATTTGGGGAAAACAACCCAGAGCACCTCCCAGACTTGGGTGAGTAATCTCCCTCCAAGAGATACTTGTTACAGGGCCACATCGCTCAGCTGAATAGAAGAACAGGAGGAGAGGAAAGCAACAAAAATAAACAAAAAATTGGAGATAACTGCTACCCCCCTATTGTCACTACCATGTTGCAAAGGAAATACAGTGTCCCCCAAAGGGTCTTACGCTGTCGCAGGTTCATTAAAAGTCAAGTGAGTAGACACGCTTCTTGCTGCAGAACACAAATTTGAGGAGCTGGTGGACTTCATTGCTGGGGACATTGATAGGAGAGTTGGTGAAATCGCTTTGCTCGCCCGCCAGTGTGTTAAGTCGGAGGACAGCCCAGTGTGCAAGGGCAAATTACTAGATTGCAAGCTCATGACTAGATTGAAAGCTCATGGCCCTTCTAACCCTATTGTGCTTAAATTGTTTTTCAACTCTGTCTCCCCCATTTTGTAAAGCACTGTGCAAACCGCTGGCGATATATAATGATAATAATCCTCTTACCCAGCAGAAACTGACAAATACCAATGAAGGTCTTGTATTTCCTTGTCACTTCAGTGGAATATTCCAAGAAGGCCAGTAGTTTTTGTTATAGTTTACAACAAGGTTTCTTTGACAGCAGTAGGCTCAAAGATTTTTTTTGCTTTCTCCAAGTCCTGGTAGCTAACAATGACTCAATGTGATGGAGCCAGATCTGGCCTTAGTGGTCCAAGTCTATGAACCCTCTCCACTATAGGGGCAGTGATGGGAAGACCTTGGAGCACAATCTCTTGAAAGATTTGCTAATTTTTGGTTTCCTTTAGGCCTACTAGGTACAGATTAATCCTCCCCATCCAATTCAAGGTCATCAAGCTTTTCTGCATTAACTGAAAGGTGTTTTTGGAGAGTCTTCCAGCGTGTGATATGCATATCTTGATGTTCTACCAAACCACGGAGTTCCTGTAGTTAGGGGGTGATCGCCTCTTGTATAGAGGCTGTTAGGTCAGATTTTAAATGTTAAGCAGCTTTGCTTGACAGTTGTTCACAGTCCAGCACTAGGAAGGGCGCTTTCTGTGGCTAATTCAACATAGTTAATTGTTAAAGTGGTTCTGACGCTGCATTTGACCTGCTTTGCATGGTGTCTCTCCTACTGAAGATTGCAGGCAAAGTAGGGCAAATGCAGCTTTTTGAATGCATGTGTTTGAACTGCTCTGCATTTAAATGTAAAAGCCTGTGTTTGACAGCAACATCCATATACACAACTCCTTAATGTCCAGTACATAATTAAAATAAATTTGTACCTTGGAAGGAATTCTTCTTTGCCGATTTGTTCCAGTGGTTTGACAATGTCCAGGACATCCAAAAATAGCTGGAAAAACACCAAACAGTGCATCTAAAATTAATCAAATTACTATAAACTAATGTTATTGGAAGTATATGCGAGTATGCATGTAAATACCGTACATGGAAAATATGTAACACAAACAACTTCTACTCATAGAAAATGTGGTACTTGGTTCTAGATGGAGTTTAATTTGCAGCTAAAACTAATATTGCAATACAACGCTCTAAAACTATCCAAAGTTAACTGAACTTCTGTAGGTTATTTGCCTCAATAGGACTTTGGCTATGAGAAGAAAAGAAAAACATATGGGGCATTATATGCCTTGTACATCCTGGCCTGCACGCAAGAGATAGAAACTCCCAAACAGCTAGGTTCAGCGCATATGGTCTTTTGCAAACTATAATGATAGTGTGACATAGCTACCATGCACATTACAGCCTAACTCCAGGCAAATTGTTTTTCTTTTAAATTAAATAAAAAAAACTCAACTGGGTTCTTATAACCAGAAACCAGCTAAGCATTCCAAACTCAATTTCAATCTGGAGCTGTCCCTCATAGTAACTGTTCTTCGCTACAAGATGTCTGGGTTGAATGATGTCCAGTGCCACCCAACCCAGGAAACTGAGGACTTCTGTGAATATAGGGTGTCATAATCCCTGGTGGGTGTTATAATCCCCTGGTGGGTGTCATAGCACCCTTCATTCTCTGTGTACCAGAGCTACTCTCTGCATCATCAAGGACTGCACACAGCCAGGAGAAGACTAAATAGTACAGTACAGTACCTAGTGAGTCAGGTGACCAACCTGAAGACTTTAAAAGAAAAAAAACAAAAAAACACAAGTATAAAGAAACACAAATAAAGCATGCTAAAGACCTCCATTGTACAGAGCTTGGGCTTTAAAATAATTTTTTTTTTTAGGAAGAATCTTTCGCTTTTATGTAGGTTTACCTTTTAATATTTTTAAGCTTCAACACACCCTAATTTAATTGTCGTAACACTCATCAGCTCTTTTAAAAAGGAGCTCAAGGACACGTAAACCCATTTGGCATACTTAAATGCAGTATGTCACACTCCCATTTAAGCCGCATTAAAACTGGAGTAAAAACTAGGTAGACACTTGTACCCAAGTGTAAACCTAAATACAGAAATGTAACATAATGCAGCTTACCAGTGGCTGCATTAGCTTCTATTTCATTTTTTTTTTTAACCTTTACTTTCACCTGCTAATCCTAGGAAAACACCCTTCCTGTCCTTTGGTGGCCACACTTACTGTATATATGGAAGAAGTCACCCAAGCTGTGTGGAGGAACCTCAGGTATCTCACAGACCATATTTGGAACTTTATATGTATTAACATTCGAAAATTTAAATCCTAACTAAAAAAAGGGTTTATTAAATGTAATGTATTTTTATATGAAGATTACAGCACTAATACAATCCAAGTAAAAAACAAAAGCCTGGAAAACATACCCACTGTTGCAAAGGTGAAAACTTTTCTGTCACTGCTTTCAAGACTTCTTGACTGGCAATTCCTCCCATGGCAGCTGCAAGGGGAGCCAATAAACCTCTAGATGTCCAAGACAACCATTTAACCAACTGGTCATCCAACACTGGCTGAAAGACAAAATGCATACATTAAAAGGTTTGTGATATCAAGAGTCAAAAGTATTAATTCAAAGATTTACATAAAAGGTATGTTGAGAGTTTTTCTAGGATGAATAACCAAAAGGAATGAAATATTTATAATTCCTGAAGAAAATGCTGCTCCAGGCTTCCTCTAGAGGTGCTGTATTTTATCCCTTCTACTGCACTTTATCCTTTCTAGCAAGGCTGATTACTTAGCTTTCTAATTAACCTGTACAGGTCTACTTCTACATGTTTACCAACTTTACTTGACAAAGGGAGAAATTGTCAAATTGCAGTAAAGGGTCTGGTATCCTCAAAAAAAAACTGCATGTGCCCACCTTTTCCATCTCTTTACATTGATAAAACAAAAAAGTGACATAAGGTAGAACATTGAAAGCACCGATCGCATTGTGGCATGGAAGCACAACACCCAAGATCATTTTTACCCATTTTAGAACAATTTAACTGTGACATCCTGAGAAAGAAAAAAAACAAACACACACAACACACACAACACACACAGAAAAATTCAAACCATGTATTGTGTGGATGGCTGATAGAGGTATATGGACACTGTAAAAGTGAAAGGATTTCCCCACAACGGGCTGCAGTTCTTCTAAGATATTTGAATTAGGTTATGCAAACAGCATTAATAGAAATTGTGCCTAGTAGGGTTATTTTGTAATAGTATTTCCTTTCTGCTACAGAAAAAGGAAACCCCTTCTTCATGGCATTTGGCAAACAGAAAAAAAAAAAAGGAGGAATCATTGGTTTTTCGATGCTACTACAACAAAAAGATGATACTGCATTGTTTTTAAAAACAGGATGACATATTTAGCAAAATTGTCCTTATAGTTGCACAGATGTACATGATATGATCATAAATAAAAAGAATCCAAGAAAATGTGTGCTTTTTGTTTTGCAAATGCAACAAACAAAACATCACTTATTAGAGAAACCATTATAAAAAGAAATCAAAACAATAAAGCCTTTAACCTGGGAGGAAGTCTTTAGGCTGTGAAACCTACTTTACTCTGCAGAGTTTCAGTTACTGATGCTGCTAATTTCTGCATCTCTTCAGCATCCTGAAGGCACCTGTAGATACAAGGGTTCAAATATCAACATTTGCTGGCAATAAGGTCTCAGGGACATAGTAGTTTCTAAATGAATTGAAATTGGCAGTGGTTTCATAGTGAGGCTGCTATGGATATGCTGCATTGCTCATCCGGGACTGCAGTTGGTACAGATCTCACCACACACACACACACACGCCAATATCTAATGTCAAAGGGGATGTAAGAATTCACCATCCTCCTTTCTTCTTTCAAACAAACCAAGATTACTCCCTCCCTAGAAGAACAAACATTCTTTTGAGGGGTCTTCTGGTTGGTTGTGTGTCCAAATGAAACACTGAGATCTTGAGGAATGCTGAATTAAGTTGACTTGCTTAGGCCATTACATGAATGGATATAACATTGTTAAGAAAAGGGACTTCGTGTGTGTGTATCACATCCACACAGGGACCAGCATTCCACTACAGCGCCATCTACAGCTCAAAAGACATTTCAGTACATTAGGATATGCTGTTGCATTTCCAACACTTCTGACCAACTTGCCCAGTAGGTATCGGGTTGTGGGAGCTTACAAAAGTTTGAGCATTTACTGTTCAGAGTATATGCTCATGGGTCCTGTTAAGAGTTCAAGACGGACATGGTCAGGTTTTTCTTCTCTCATTACCATCAGGTTCCTTGGTGCAAGCAAAGCTGGGTTATATGTACACATATCCAAATAGTGTCTCGTAATCTTTTCCAGTCCAAAGATATCAAGCTTTTATCCTCTAATTGTCCTAGTGGGACAACCAGGAGACTTCAGACTGGTCTTGGTCTGAACACTTTAAACAAATGGATCAGGATCCAAATATTGCATATGGAATCACTATATCCATCACTTAAGCCAGAAACTGACTATGGGACACTGTGCCTGGCAGATGTGGGCTCACATTCCTGCGCGCCTGTCCTTCATCAAATGTCTTACTTGCCATTCTAAAGTTCCACTTTTGTTTGTTACCCTGCCCTTTGGCCTCGCCACAGTCCTAGGTCATTTTCCAAAAGATTGCATCCAGTCACAGCCTTCTTGAGTGAACGAGTATTCCAACTATTGAAGCGTCATCCTGCTGGTTGTTCAGCATGCTCATACTCTAGCAGTCCATGGAACCATTTTTAAGTTAGGCTCTGATCAAGTTAAAAGTGATCGCCAAGGGGGAATGCCTCTATCCTACCCCTTGGTGTCTCCAGTTGACGGGGCAACTCCTTGGTGTCTCCAGTTGACGGGACAACTCCTTGGTGTCTCCAGTTGACGGGACAACTCCTTGGTGTCTCCAGTTGACGGGACAACTCCTTGGTGTCTCCAGTTGACGGGACAACTCCTTGGTGTCTCCAGTTGACGGATCAATTCAAATGGTGATCCAATACTTATTGGAGGCTAAAAGTCTTTCAACAGGGTTCTTCAGAAGACAGAGAAGACATTCCCTGTGCCATTGATTCTGGATGATTCCAAATATGAGATTATGGATGTGGCTACAGCCAGCGAGCCTGTTTCAACTGTTATCTATGTGCCTATCCAGGGGCCGGGTTGATGAAGGTTTCCTATGTGCAAATCACTTCAACAGCCTTTTAATCCGAGGTCGGTGACAATCCTTCAGGGGGAATATGTCTTCAGCATCTTGGAGTTCAGAGAGCGTTTTGGATCCAAGGAATCTCTGCATTACTTCAATGAACAACTGGATGATCTTGTGTTCCAAAGATTTGGTGTCTGCTCATACATGTATGGGAACCGCTCACTGCTGATGGGGGTACCTCTGTTCGAGGATTCAGCGCTGGACTCCCCAAAATTTCCTGGCTGATACTGTAAGCCAAGAAGCCCTGGACGACAATTAATGTTTTCTTATCCAGAAGTTTCTGTGGATCAGCAGCAAGTCGGGTTATCCAGATCTCATCCTGATGGTAATCCCTCAGAGTACAGACACTCCTTGTCAAGAAAACGTTCTAAGGGAGAGAGCAATGGATATTTGAATGCATATGCTTCCTTCAGTCCAAATGGATTTGGGTTCCTAGATGGTACCCACAATTAGCCGGGTAGGGTTCCCTCTCTTGTAGACTCTGACCCTTCCGAACATCACATTATATTCTACAGTGCGGAATAATTTCATAGACTTCACCAGCTTAATAGGTTTTGTCTCTCTTTCACCTTGCCATGATGGATATATTGAACTTCCTTCAGGCAAGCAATGTGTACTTGGGTATCAGTACCCTCTATATATTAATCCTCTAAGACACAAAGGACTTGCACAAGAATTTATTCTTCAGTAGAATCTCTTTCCCTTAGAATCTACAGATAGTGCTGTATATGTTCTTCCTTCCTCGACTTCATCTAGATCACGCTTACTCAGGATGGACAGTAACGTGTAAAATAGTTTCTTACAGCAATCTCCTCGGGGAGGAGGGTGTTGGATAGTCAAGATTAGCCTTCAAACCACCTTATTGCTTCCATTTCACAGACAAGTTTTTTGTTTCAGCTTATGCCCGAAATGTGGCTGCTATGCTGGGGAGGAAAATAGAGGTTACCTCGTCTTCTTTCAGGTCGATCTGTTCATCTTTCTGGTGCGTTTAGGAAGTAGCACTCTGTGTGCACGAGGTCAAATGCATTGTGCCTGATCAAGCAGAGGGAGCCACAGATTAGTCTCTGGGTTCGCTCTTCCGAGGGATGTCTCCTTACGGATAGAATTAGTGATGTACCTCCAGCGTTATTCTGGAAGGCGGTAACCTGGTATCTGTCCCTGTCCCATTACAGGGTCTATCCAGGAGTCTTGTCTAAGGTGAAGTTGGTTCTGAATGTGGTACAAATATATAAATATCTCAGAACTACCCTCCCTGGATGTGTGATCGCTATATCCCATTGTATGCTGCCATGGATTGGTGTCAGGAAAACGGAAAATTGTATACTTACCTATCGGTAATTTTCCTTTCCTGGCTCCAATCCATGGCAGCATACAGGACCCTCCCATGGCTTTCGCATTGAGTACTTGTTACGAGAATGGTGGCCTTGGGAGGCGGGCTTTAATTTATAGTATAACTGGTCCTGTGATTGGGCTGGGGGCGGAGCCATACCCATTGTATGCTGCCATGGATTGGAGCCAGGAAAGGAAAATTACCGATAGGTAAGTATACAATTTTCCGTATATATATATATATATATATTTGGGAGTTCATTTCTTCCACACAACATTTTTACAACAGCTACTCTGCGCTAAATGGATACCAATAAGTGTCAACATTAAATATATAAAGTCTGCTGCCGTGCCAACTATGTAGTGTGACATTTTAAGAATAAGACTTCCACACAACATACTATGTAATCCTCTAAAAGTACCATGTAGACAACCTCTCTGAAAGCTAAAGTGCTTAAAATTAAAGTTGGTGTTTAAGGCAAAAGCAGAATCTTTGTACTTGCTGTAAAATCCTTTACTTGGGAGTCTATTGATTGACACAAAGTCTTAAACTTTTGGGGTATGCTACCACCCATATGAGGATTGGACACCGTTTTTGTTCTACAACGCAACCTAAGATAGCCCTGGGATAACCCCTCCTGCTACAAGAAAGTCTTAGGCCTTGTTCCCACCAAATGCAGAGCAGATCTGCATGAGTTTCTGCACATGCAGTGCAGTGGGTTGTGCCGCGTTTTTTATGTGTTCCGGGCCGTTTTTGGTTAAACAACAAAATATTATTTTTTGTTTAAAATAAGCTTCCAGTGCATTCCAGGGCGTTTGCATGCGTTCCAGAGCAGGTAAAATAGGGCATGCTGCAGTTTTTTTTACCTGCTCTGGAACGGAACACTGCGATGTGAACTGGAACTAAAAATACCATTGGAATATATTGGACGCAGCTCCGGTCTGTAACTGCTCTGCTCCTGGAACGCGCTTGGTGTGAACAAGGCCTGAGGGTCTATTCACTAAAGGGTGAAGAGTTTGGAGAAGGCAGGAGAAGTGAACAATCTAGGCCAAAATAGCTGATTTGGAAAAATTCTCCAATTCAGCTCACTTTCCAGTTCAGCTATGTTCTCCTAGATTGTTCACTTCTCCAGTCTGCTCCAAACTCTTCACCCTTTAGTGAATAGACCCCTTAGTTTTGCAGCAAGCAAAGCAGTACCAAGGACATGATCATAAACACATAGGGATGGGACCTGTGTCTATTGAACTCCATGAAAAGGATTTGACAGCGAGCACAGGAAGTCTAAAAAATTCAGGACATCCAAAAAGCAGTCTAACTGAGGGGTAAGCAACACATATAAGATTTAAATAACAGGCCCAATAAAGAACAAGAACAGGGTACTGCCTGCAGCTGAAAGAGCCACCTGAAGGACCTTATGTCTGAAGCTTGCATCAGAGGAGGCTGAAATGCCCATCAGGTAAAACTTGTAAAATGTGTGGTAACTTGTAAAATTTTAAAAAACTGTGGCATGCTGGTAGCGGGGGGTGGGGGGATATCCCAGGGCTAGCCTACAGTTTTATCATTTGCTAGTGTCTAATCTACCTGTAGGTGGTGTAACTCTAAGGTGTAGGGCTTCCTATATCCCTCAATTGACAAGAAAGAAAAACAACATTTTTGATTCTGAATAGAGTAGGGAAGAGTAAAACCCCGCCATTTTACTTTTTGAGGCCTGTGTATAGAGAAATTTACCTTCACTTCATGTCCCAATGTGAGGGTCATTCCCCTCTTAGACAGTTGTCCCTGGAACAGGTGTACCCATTGGAACATTTTTTCTTTTTTTCTTCTTGGATTTCCCCTCACTTTTTTTTTTGCAGGGGAATGGGGGGTATTTAATGGCCACCAATACAAATAGAGGAGTTAATCTCCCTAATGTGGACAAAAATACAGTTTGTAAGAGGGTCTAACTCTGTGTCAAACGTTGGGTCACAATCCACACAGCTTACTGGTTAGTATTGTAAGCATTGTGAATTAGAATGCTGTGTTTTGTTCCAAGCAATATCATGAATTTGTATGTTCTATACATCCATATTTCCCTCACCAACCCAATTCACCTTCAACAACTTCTAAAAACCCTCAAATATAAAATAGCGCATGGGTGTTCCTCAGTAAAGTGTTGCGGAATCTATTAACACTATATACATAGAGTATTGGATTCATTTTTCTTTATTGTACCCATGTAAAAATACAATGCGACTACTGATAAAGCGAGAATAATAATACCTTATGTTAGGTAGACGATTGTGCATCTCTTGAAAATGATCTAATGCCAACATAGCTGTGTGAATGTTCAGTGGTGCCTTGGAAGTCAGAAAGAAAAATGATTTAATTTCATAATCTCACAGAAACACATATACATTAGTCTGCTATTCAGTGAGGTACAATGTAGAGCACTGACTTTAAAGTGGACCTTTAAAGGTACACACATTAATAATAATACACACATTAATAATAATAATTAATAAATAATAATGAATAATATCATAGACCTGGCAGGTGCAAAATGTTGTGATTCTGAAATACTTACACCTGCAGAGCATTCTCTTCCTGCTTTGAAAGGGCAAAATGACTTCAATCTGCCAAAACAATGCATATTGAGATTGCCTTGTCATCAGCAGAACATTGCTGGGAAATCTCATCTGTAATCTCATGAGATTTCAGGGAAAGACAATTTCCTCCCCTGAGATGATGTGCATGGTCACATGTCCTAGTCACATGTGCCAGAAATCCAGGAAGTAATAGGAGAGCTAGTAAGCTGCCCTTAGTTAAAATGGCCACTGTCAGAAGACTGGGGAAGAAAAGAGAAATAAGGTATGCAAAGAATACAAAGCCTGAAATTATCTAGAAGTATGTGTTTGTAGATTGTCATTACTAAACATTTCTAAAGGTGTGTTTGTTCTTTTAAATATATGGGTAAAGTTCCTCTTTAAAAAGAGTGCCAACCACGGGAACCAGTACTCTCCTTACTCCATTTAACTATACATGAAAAACATGTTTGCAAAATTCCTACAAATTGGAAGAGATGTCAAGGAAAAAAGGCACATATATTTATTTGTTGTTTAGACGACTGCTTTTTTCTTCAATTAAAAAAATACAAAAATAAATATTCTTAAACAGAATGCTAGCAAACAAGGATAACTCAAGAGTAAAAGGAAGGCAGTCACACAAAATAGTTCCATTTAAGAGTCAGAGAAGGATTCTATGAATTCTTCTATAAAATCTACACTGAATTTGCTAAAATGTCACTTAGCTAGCTGATAAAAAGGTTGATTGATCAGTTAAATGTTTCTTGTATGTATGTATGTATGTATGTATGTATGTATGTATGTATGTATATATATATATATACACACACCATAAGAGAAACGCACTTAAATTCTAGTGGATACTCTACAGTAATAAAACAGAGAATTTAGCTAAATAAATCCCGTAACAGCATTGTTGTATCTGGCGTGGAGATTTAACTGCTTTGGGTTTCATGGAATCTAGCAAAATAAACAGTACGTTAATATTCTGCAAATCCAGACTATATCCCGTTAAAGCAAGCCTGCGTTTTGCCCAAGCAAGGATACGTAACAAGTTTACTTTAATGACACCTCCTCAGCAGCATATACTTTCCGTTCTTTCACTAGCCCACCATTGCCTTCAGCTGCTAGGACCAGGTAAAGACAGCCTTGTAAAAGCTGAAGCTGGATTTCCAGTCAAAGTTTAAACAGGGACTGATTGTCTACCTGTGTAATAGCGCAAGACCAAATACCAGCACTGCTATATGAGTCGCATGCGCCTCCATGCTTGGGATTACCAAGCACTGAAAAAAAAATGCTAATAGTTTTTAAATCACTGAAACAATGCATTCTGCTGAACACAAATAAGCTGATCTCTACAAAAGTATAATATAAAGTTTTCCTACCTCTGGCCTACTGAAGTCTGCAGAAAGATATTTTGGTTCAACCAACTGCTTTTCCAATCTTTCCTATAAAATAAAATGACATCTTATTTCTTCTGTTCAGACCTACCATAATTAGAAAGCCAAGACAGAGCCAGCTGCCAAAATAGGATTTTTGCACTAAAACAGAAAATCTTTGTTTTAGAATCCACAGAGGGACATATCAAGTCATATACTGTCAGGTTACACTGCCACCTACATAAGGATTGGACACTGGCAATTAAAGAAATTGTACGACAGCCCAGGATAAACTCTTCTACTACCAGCATGCCTCAGTTTGTAGCTAGCAGTACTAAGAGCATAAACAAAACAAGGGACCTGTGTCTCTCAATAGACTCAAAGAAAATTGAGGGACACAGGAAATTATATACCGTCAGGGCATCCAAAAGCTGTCCAACTAAGTAGTGGCTAAAAGCAAGCTGCTGCTAACAGACCCAATGTGCTACTGGGGACTGCATACAGCTCGAAAGCCATCTAAAAATAACCAATGCCTGAAGATGGCACTAAACAAGGCTGAACCGTCTGCCAAGAGCAGACTTGTTTTGGTCTAGGAGCACAAATAAAAGAAGATATACTGACCTGATACCTGGTCCTGCGGCAAGTCACCTTTCTTCCCCCCACTCTGGCGGTGGTATGTTCCGCGGAGTTCTCACGTTTATTGCAAGTCAATGGACCAGCAGAAGACGTGATGTCAGTAGTCCCTAGGACTGAGCCAGAAAAGACTGAGGATCATGAGTACATCTGCTTTTTAGGAGCCCCCTAGGCTACACAGAGAATACAAGACCAGGTGTTAATAGCTTAGGAACTAAGCCTGATATCAGAAGAGCAAGAAAACACACACACACTAGTGAGCAGACTAATCAGAGCAGACACATAGAACGAACAATTTCCCAACAGTTTGAGCAATCCAAGCATGAGCAGCATGGAGAAGGGACACCTCTGCAAGGACCAAGATAGGACAGAGAAACGTAAAAAATGTCCTGGTAAGGGAAGACCAGAGTCCCCCTAGGCTAACGAAAGACCCCAAGCCTCCACTGACGTAAGCACTAGGACCAAAGGAGGAGTAGACATCCTCTTCACTAGAGTTGGGACTACCCAGGATGAATCCTGAAAACAACCGATTTAGAGGTAACTTCAAGTTGCGACTGTTGATCCCTGTGCTCTCTTAGGGAACCAAAATTAGGTTCCTTTGGATCGAGCATGGTGAAAAGTGAAGGTACATTACAGCTTCCTATACAAGGAGTTGGCAGTGGATAGCGGGTTACAAGCAACGAAAAGTAATAGGTTTCCTTTAATGACACCTCCAAAACAGCATATACTTTCCTATTCCTGCTAGAATAACAGAAAGAATACCTATCCGAGAACCAGGCTCAATGCCAACGGATATGTAGAAGGAGGTACCAGGCAATGAGGGAAATGCAGCCATCAGTACTCTCAGAAAGTACAAAAGCAACATCCCTGAAACCATTAAGGAAGTGTGATGTCAGTTCTCAGCCCCTCAGCATTAACCCTTCGGTGGCAAGAATGTCAAAAAGAGCAAATTCAAAACCATCCAGGGGAGCAACTAATGAGGTAACTTCCTGTGCTCAGCCCGATTGGTCTACTCAAACAGAGTCCCGGAAAAGGCAAGCACAGAGGCAATGCCAACAGCCCTAGCTTGGAAAGAGCTTCATGGCTAAGTTGTTACCAGAACTAGGTCTGGAAAGCGCTGGAAGCGAACCCAGCGTCCGAAGGTCACTTACAGACTAGCCTAGCATATCCAGTGCAGTAGTGTCTGTGTACCGTCTTCCAAAACTTGGTTGTGGAAAGGCCGATTCAGATCGCTGCAGTTTTAGAGACCAGCTCAAGCAGTTATGTAGCAAGGAATCTTGATTGAAGAAAACAATTGAACAAAAAAAAAAAAAAAAAATTACACTTTTCCTGCAGAGCTTAAGAAAAGATGTCCATTCACCTAGGATACTAACAAACAACTTCCTGGTAGTAGGAGGGGTTATCCTATCCTAGGCCAGCACCATAACATTATTTTGCAGGCATGTTGGTAGTAGGAGGGATTATCCTAGTCTAGCATACACTTAGTTTACTAGTGTCCAATTCCTCTGCAGTATAACTCAACAGTATATGAATATGAATTCCTGTGTCATTTAATGGATGTGAAAGAAAAAAGCTTGCCAAATGCATTTAACAATTGCTACTTACAAAGCAGAAAGTCTTTGGCATTTTAATCTGCACAGCTATTCCCCCATGTTGATATGGTTCCAAGCTTGATGCATCACCAATGCTGAAGGAATAAGGTGACGTAACTGAAAATCAATAAGAGGGAAAGTCAATTCACAACAATGTGCACTTTCATCTAAAAATCTATTTATTAATGCTGAAGATTGTTGGAAGCATGCTAACAGCTTGTTTAAAACAATCCTATTACTACAGGGTCAAAACAAAAGAATTACCTGTAAAAAAAGAGGCCCTACACTCTATATACGTTTCCTGCAGAGGTTAAAGTAGTATTAAGATCTGGGCGTTTTTTACCTTATTGCATTCTCTGCTTTCTAGTAAAAACCGCCCAGAACATTCTCCCCCCCACACACACATACCTGTCAGCGATGCTCGCCCCCGCCGCCGGTCCCGACGTGATCCTATGTTCCCCTTACTTCCTGGTTGCAAGGGGAGGATACTGATGGCAGAGGAGCCATAGTCTCCTTCTGCCATCAAAGAGAGAAGAGGAGTCTGCCTGCCACAGGGCTGTGTGTGTCCATGGACGCACACAGCCACTGGAGCGCACGGGTGCCTCCATTAGAGCGATGGTGGCACCCGTACAGAGGGCGGGGGAGAACGCTGCGGGGACCCACTTGAAAACGAGGCATGAATAGATTTTAACGAAACAACAACAGTCTCACGCAAAGGTAGGCATCCCTATAGTGTGTATGTGTATTTTATTGCTTAAATGTATATTGAGTACTGTTCGAACAGTAAGACTGGGTTCACATACTTACACTGTGGTAACACATGCATTTTACCACTTGTTACTGTGCCATTCATTTTGAAAATCACTGCAATGCTGCCCATCCATCTCTGCAAGCATTCAATCCTTTGGGTGGGTCAAATACCTACTCCTGCCACATGCTGTAGTTCTTCCCACCAGATCATACTTCCTGTAGTGGTGTATAAGCCTGTGGCAGAAACCACAGCATGTGGCAAGGGAGTAAATATTCTATACATTCTGAAGCGTAAGATACTTGCAGTGGTTGGAAAGCAGCATTGTGGTGGCATTTGGACACATGGCCCAGATAGCAAGGATAACTTGCTACAAACTTGTGGCAGGGTGAAATTGTAATTTTTGTTAACTTGCTGCACACATTCCTGGCAAGTTGTAGACTTGCAGAACACTTGCAGCACAAGTTCTAGTTGACACTTTTTGAATTTGTAGCAAATTTGCTTGGCAAGTCTACAGCAAGAGTCCTGCTGGTCTTAGCAAGAGCTCTGCAAGCTCGCTGCTCTGGAGACTTGCAATGCAGACTTGCTGTAATTGTGCAACAAAATTGTGAAGTTTGGCAAGTCTGCAATAGTTTAGCAAGTCATTTTCAAACTTGCAGCTCATTTGCTTGCTATCTGGGGGGCTGCAGGAAAGGCAAGTATGGAGCCTCTTTTGCAGGTAATCTTTCTTCCGTTTTGAACCTGCAGTCACTGGGTCAGTTAAAAGTGACAGCGGTCTCCATATGATCTGTTTTTACCATCCCAAAGGTAGAGCTGAAGGGTGATCTAATGGCTGCTTGAAGCTTTGCAAAAGATTGCTTCACACATTACTTTAATGCAAGCTGTAGATAAAGGTCGGACTGAGTTTCAGAGCACCAAGCACTTTTGCTACACAAGGAAAGGAATTGTAACAATACATATCTAAAATATGAGCTTAGTTATTATTGCAGAACAGTCACTGAGTAAAATAAAAATGTATACTAAACTTTTTCTGTGAATGTGATTTACCTGTAACCTGATGTGCAGACCCATTTAAAGTGGCCATTCCATTCACTTCACGGAATGTCACATATTGTCCAGATTCAAGGTTATGAGGCCGGTTCTCAAAACATGTGATCACACCAGGATTTGACTGTGAACAATAATGAATATTAACATTTTTTTAGCAAACTGTACAAACGCTTAGGCTTTGCTCGCACCAGCTTCAGTATAAAAATCAGAGGATTCGACAAGCTGCTGCAAAGCTTTTAAAAATAATTTAAAACGTTTTCGTCAAGCTTTGTGCAGCTACAAGGAAGCCTTCCAAGAACTCTTCTGTTCCAATTTGGGAATGTTAAAACACACATCTTAAAAGGGGGTGTAACTTTAAAAAAAAAAAAAAAGAAGAAGAAGCTGCTAGCAGGCTTCAGCAGGCTGTAAGTAGTGCTCAAGTTTACCGACAGTTCATTAGGATCTGTGTTTAACATTCCAAGCTGGAGATTAATGGCGCTTGCTAAAAGCTCTTAAGAAGCTTTGTAAAATTCTTGCTGTACACACTGATGCTATACAAGCGGAAGCCAGTGTGAACAAGGCCATACACACAATGTGATTGCTTAAAAAAAAAAAATTACACGTTTGCGATGACAAACATATTTTGTAATACAGTTTTTGAGATCTGCCCAAGTCCTAATTTGATGTCAGATATTGTTGCTCTCTGGGAATTTAAAAGCATGGAATTCCAGAATCTTAACTGCTTCAAAAGAGAAGTAAAGCCAAACCTTTTTTTTTTTTTTGGAGGGTGGGATCACAGGAGTACATTTGCTAACGTACTCCTGTGACTCAAATCTCAGCATATAGTGCACTACTGCCTGCTATATGCTGACAGCACAGAGAAATGCCGCAGATGGGAATGATCCCGACAATATGGTCAGGATCACCCCGGCTGCCTGATTGACAGCTGGCACCGCCTCTCTAGAGCCATAACCAGCCGTGCCCGTCCCCTCCCCTGTCTGTACCTCCAGTGAGCGTTGGAAGAGGGGAGGGGGCATCCTTGTTGGGAGTGGCGACTGACATCCATTGCTCTCCACAAGGGGGAGGGCTTGAGAGGCTGTTACGTGATCATTCAGCTCTTGGTATAGGGAGCTGGTGTGCGATATAGCTGGCATGTGACACTGCAGCTAATTGATTTTTCTAATCAATGCTGCAGATTATACATTTTCGAAATTCACAACACTATCAGGTGCACACACAGGCATGCTGGCATTTTTTTTTCTTGCTGCATTTCCAGAACTGTTAGAACCATGTAGATCTCAAAAACAGTAAGACCGGGTTCGCATATTTACACTGTGCTAACACATGCATTTTACCACTTGTTACTGTGCCAGTCATTTTAAATGGCACCACAACACAGAGCTGCGTTTTTTATTGTGGTGACCTGGGGGGGTAGGTGCAAGTGCGTATTTAGGTAATTTCTGTTGTACGGGCAGATGCGCATTGGGCTGCTGTACTTCGATGCGCTTTAACATGCATGCAGTAACGCACCATAAATATGTGAACCTGACCTTTACTTCCTTTCAGTAAAAAAAAAATTGCATAAACCTGCAGCTCTGCGTGACAATATGAAATCATCTTACAGTCATTAGTTAAACATTTTTTGCTTTTATTTACAATTACTGTTTTTTCACTTCCTTCCTTTCACTTTTGTGTGAAGCACTGGTGATGTAGCCCTGGCCTCACAGATGCATCTTTGGGAAGGCTACATGACTAATGCCTTCCTGGGAATCTCTCATCTGTAAACTGAAAAGTCTCAAAAGACCTCGGGGAAAGGCATTTCCACACCAACCCACCCACCCCACTGCCCTTTGGATGTTGTGCACATGTTCCAGGAGACAGACCCAGAGTTCCAGGAAGTAAAAGGGGATTGAGTCCCCTGCCCTTAGGGAAAATGAACACCGTGAGATGAAATCGGAAGGAAAAGAAAAATAAAGTATGCAAAGAATAAAACGTTAGCAATCATCCATAAGCAGAGTGTCATTACTAAACATTTCTAAAATGTGCAATTGATTTTTAGGATGTGGGTGAAGTTCCCTTTTAGGCCTGGTTCACACCTGGGCGTTTTACAGCGCATTCCTACGCTCTGTAAAACGCTCAACATGTGAAAACCAATGATTTCCTATGGGCATGGTTACCACCTGGGCGTTTTACATCGCGTAGGAACGCGCTGCCCTACGCCCAAAGAAGTACAGGAGCTTCTTTGGGGCGTATTTGCTGCCGTACCCATTGAAATACAGCCAGGTGGCCCTCGGAAACGTGTATTTGGTGCGCGTTTTTTTACAGCGAATTGCGGTAGAAACGCGCGACAAACGCGCATATTCGATACGCCTAGGTGTGAACCCAGCCTAAGAGTTTTCACAAAGGAAGCCCGAGAAAAAAAAACTACATCATCATAATGGCTGCAGGAAAAGATGATTTTGGCCTGTAGTTTGCAGCATTTATACATGATGATCAGTTCTGGGTGGACTTTAACAACTAGACAAAAGACCTTTGCAGAGTATTGAGAATTAACTCATATTCTGTTAACATGATTAAATAAAAGAATAAAATAAGCTTTACCTGTGTTATATTGGAAATAAAGATCTCTTTTGGTTCCTCTCCTGTAGTATCCAACACCTCAAACTGTTCTCCAAAATCACAGAACAAAGAGGTACATATACCATAGGCATCTGAAGAAATAAACTGAATAAAATAAAATATTAAATAGTTATATGAAATTGATTTTTTTTTTTACAATTGACAAACAACTTTTGAGTGAAATCAGGAACTTGCAGGCTTAAAAAAGTGCTTACAGGTTGCACAAACTTCCAACCATCATGCAAGACCCCTCTACAACCCATCCCTTTTTCCATTGGAGTATGACGGTCCTGCAACTGGAAACATTACTTTGCATTGCTGTCAATGGGAAGGCTTTGAAAACACACAGAAAATGCTGACAATACATTTATTTACAGTGCTGTTGATATGCTTCTATCACTACGACCTATTGTAAAATCCAACAAACTCTGCTTACAAGTAACAACTGCTGATCAATTTCACAGGCATCCTAAATCCATCTCCATACCCATGCTTTCAGAAAGATTTGGTTAATGTTTAAAACTTGATTTCAGTGTACAATTATACAGCTGGGCATACACTCCCCAATTTTTTTCTATAGTTGTGGAAATTTACAGCATCAAAGGGGAGTATATTACGACAAAAGGGGAGTATATCAATGCATCTAGCAGATGCTGGAAACGCTTTGATATTTGTCCTTTCACATCCAAACTAATCAGGCATGAGTTGACATTTGCAGCTCTCTCCTGCAAATGGCGGTTTTAAGATGTTGCAGACTAAGAAAAATAAAGATGTAACAGAGAATGGTAATCACATGCACAGCATTACTTAAGCGGTCCATACACCTGCTGGCACTACCCAGTTTGATAAAAGTAGATTTATCAATCAACTTTTGTTGCAGGAGCTGGGCTAAAAATTGTTAGCCGAAAAGTGACTGCGACCAATCAGCTGCAGTTACTATATGGGTATTGAGACAGCTGTGGGCACGGCCTCTCAGAATATATTGGCTGGCAAGGAAGATTCCCCAGCCCACAGGGCTGAATGAGAAGAAAAAACGCCAAGTGCATGGCCAGCGTTACATATCCAAGTATGGCTGTATGTGAGTTGAAGGACAATACTGGAAACCCGCAATGAGCAAATATGTAGATTGCTATTGTGCACCTCTTCTTCTGAACACGCTACCTGCCTGGCTGTCATTCTGACCTAGCAGCTTCAGTATTTTTTGTTGGTTCTGTGTCAGTGACTCAAAGTAAGGAAGTCAAGGATAGCCAGGCAACTACAGTTCTTAGGACAGTCTCTTCATTTCTCTCACTACAGGCTTGCTTAAAAAGGAGAACTATGGGGTAAGTGTTTTTCCCCATAGTTCTCCTAAGGGTCACGGGAGGACACAAACTAGCATCCTCCCGTGACCCAAAGCTCAGTATACCGCGAGCTAGAGCTTGCGGAATACTGAGACCGCCGCAGCCGGGACGGATCCCGACATTACGGTCTGGATCCACCCAGCTGCGTGATTGACAGCTGGCTCTGCCTATCTAGAGGCAGAGCCAGCTGTACCCGCCTCCTCCCCGTCCGTTCCCCCAGTCAGCGCTGGCTGGAGGATCGGACAGGGGAAATCCCTGCAGGGAGCCGCGAGTGACAGTCACAGCTCTCTGCAGAGACAGGATCGAGAAGTGAGCGAGCGACGGTATGTTATCGCTCACTTCCCGATGTTGCTATTGTTGTATGTTGCTATTTTTCTATGAGGCTCCTGCGAGTACAGACTATAGTACGAACGAAAATTTGTTTTCTTTAAAAAAAAAATTAAAAAAGATCACAGTTATGATTACAATTGATATTTTTCTGTTTAGACAGATTTCATAAAAATAGAAATAAGAATAGCTAGTATTTGTAATATTAATGCTTTACCTTTATGGATGGCTGTTGATCATGGCAGAAGTTATTGATCTTCTTTCTTAAGGAAAGTCTTGTTTCAGTCAGTATGACACACTAAGAATATAAATACAGAACAAGCAAGTGAAGGAGATGTTCTTAACTGCAATACATCCAAACAAACTGGAAGACAATAAGCTGCTAGGTAATACCTGGTACTGTCCCAGGAATGAAAGATCAGTGGAGTCATCCAGTGGCACTGTAGATAATGTCACTTGGACATAAGGGTTAAGCGCTGCAATATGGTGAAGGCATGCTTCAGCTCTGCAATGAATTATCATAACTAGATTAGTTACAAGATGACTTCACAATGCTTCTACAGAAAATAATGGAGTTATGAGAAAAATTAAACAGTCAATGCATACTGCACATCTGATTTGGATAATGTAAGGCTTTCTAACTTCACTATACAAGACCTGCAAAGCACAGTGATGTTATTAAGATACTACATCATGATGACTGCATGAAGTTTATTTAAGCACATAGTAATAAACATGACATATAGATTTTTCTGACCTAGTTTTCTGATTCTTGATATCCTCTTCTTTGATAAAGAAATTAGTTCCAAGATCCCATAGTTCACAATATTTGGTGTCATGGATTGTCAACGCCTGAGGAAATAAACATCACAGTATAAACCCTATTATCCATCTCTTTTTATTAAAATTAACAAAAAGGCTCAGATTAACAGTTTACCTTTATCCCAGCTAAAACAATGTTCTTTGCTAAAACGAGAAAGGAAATGATTTAGCTGACCCAGCTACATTGACGACAAGAAATAAATCAGTATTACAGAATACTTAGAACTAATGCAAATTCAAACATCAAGACATGTGGACGTGTAGGTCTCAAATTTAGCAATGTAAGGGGTGGTATTGTGTTATATGGAAGCCTGGAAAATACAAATTGCCAGTCCACAAGGGAGATTCAAAAATGGATTGTGATGAAAGATGTAAAATGTTCTCAATCTGACTTTATTTACTATTACTATCTACTGCTTTAAATTGTTACTGTCTGAGGGTAGTTTTATGCTGCTGTACTAGCGAAATAGACAGATCTTGACAGAAACCTTGTTGATCCTGTTAACAGATTTAACAGATGTGCATGAGGAGCTCATTACAAAAGGATTTTAAGGTTTTGTGCATTCATCTCTAAAAGCAAACCAGTCTGAGCAAAAGAAATACAATACTTGGGCAGCATGCAGAGTAATGGAAAATACAGGCTTGTCATCATGGTTAAAGTGGACCTTTACCCGCTCAGTCCTGAGGGATACCACACAGGAATTGGGCCTCCCCTTCCCCCAGTTGGCATTCCTCCGGCGAAGTGAGATGTGACATTGGACACTAGATCTAGAAGGTGGGGTAAGGATCTAGAAGGTGGGGTAAGGAGGTCCATGTGAAATGTTTCTAATTTTTTATTATTTTTTGTTTCCATTGGTTATTGCTGTTTTTTATAGTTATTTGGTAACGTCTACGGAACATTGTTCCCATATCTTTTACCGTGGATGCAATGTTACTTGGACGCTCAGTGCTCTTAGGATCATGATAGTCTTGTACAATTTGTTTTGTTTTTTTATACAATGCAATGGTCTCTTATTGTGCATGACAATGTACTTTCATAATTTGTGACTGTCGTTTGACACTGCTGATTTTGACCATTTTATTTTCTGTATGTGTTCATTTACATGCTTCAATAAACAAGAAATAAAATAAAAAAAATAAAAAAAAGTGGACCTTTACCCCTTTTCACCAAAACTCACATCAGCATGCAGCTCTGCATGCTGATATAAAGTCATATTACATTTATTATTTAAACAAACATGTTTTTCACTAACTTACAAATAAGAGTTCATCTACTTCCTGGTCCACATTGGCCCAAATGATGTAACCGTGCATCCTGGGAAGGTTACATCAGCAGAGCATTGCTGGGAAATCTCATGAGATCTCAGGGAAAGGGATTTTCCTCCCCTGAGATGATATGCATGGTCACATGCCCTAGTCACATGTGCCAGAGTTTCACGAAGTAAAGGGATATGAATTAATCTGCCCTCATTAAAAATGGCCACTGTGAGAAGACTGGAAAGGAAAAGAAAAATAAGGTATGCAAAGAATACAAAGCCTGCAAATAGGAGTATCGGTTTGTATATTGTCATTACTAAACATGTCTAAAAAGGTGCCTTTGTTGTTATGTCATTCACTCAAACTCCTAAAAGTCGAAAAATTAGAAGTTATCAACAGAATTTATCAATAACACTCCACTAGCAAATATAACCTGTACATTATTACTATTCACTATATTGCTACTGATTAAAGAGGAAGTGTAAAAAAAAAAAAAGGAAGGTGGCGCCACTAGGGGCTTTTAGCCATAATCTGCCAGTATGCACAGCAACTGACCCCTCCAGCGCTGCACTTCTCCCTCATTGGCGCTTCCATCTTGCTCCCAGTCTTTGGCTGCTTGATTGGCTGGGCCTTGATTTCGTAAACCCCTGCACACAGGAGTTACTGCATCTCGGCATGTTGTGTCTGTGCCCTATGCGGTGGATCCGCAGCTCATTGTGCAGAGAAAAAAAATTGCTGAATGGCAGCAAGAACTTGCACAGTCTCTTCTGTCATCTAAAACTTGCCGATCCGCAGTATTTTTTTTGTTTTGAAGCTTACTTCCACTTTAAGAAAAGCAAGATTAAGAAGAAGAAAAAAAAAAAAACAACTCACCTATTTCAACACCGAGTCCTCCTATCCCACTTAGGAAAACATGGGATTGGGCCATTTTCTGCATGGCTGTGTCTCCCAAGACATACCTCTGCCGGCTGATATGACAAAGAAAAATACATTAAAATACATTTACAAGTACATATAATGAAAGCACGAGATGCATGTGTGCATTGAGAATTTACTATGGAGACACAGGATAAAAATAATAGGTGTACTACAGGATCATGTCCATTTAAGAGGGCCTTGTACAATAGACATGCAGTTAAAAACAAAATTGTAAAAAAAAAAACCCCACTGCAAAACAATATAATGATGTACCAAAGTTGCTAGGGTAGATGTCTAGTTAAAGGATTCTTTTCTATAACGGTAATATGAAGCAGCCATATCCAAATAGCCCCAGGCAGCATTTTCGAGTCGTCACCAAAGCAAGGGGTGAGGTTAAGTTTCCAATGGGGACAGATACACATTCTAGTGACAACTGTGAGAGACTGCAATTCCTCTCACTCTGTGGAGAGTTCCTCTCGACTGGAGAACAGATAATGAGGAAAAATCTCCCCAGAAAAACACTAACAGGGTTATTCACAAAAGGGTGAAGAATTTGGAGAAGGCAGGAGAAGTGAACAATCCAGGACAACATAGCTGGACTGGAAAGTGAGCTGAATTGGAGAATTTTTCCAAATCTGCTATTTTGGTCTAGACTGTTCACTTCTCCAAACTCTCCACCCTTTTGTGAATAACCCTGTCAGTTTATACACATTTTGTATTGCTTTGCTGCAAACTGCTTTAGGAAGCAACAAATGTGCCTTGTTCCTGCAGAAACACTATTTTTCTAGAATGTGGAAGTGCTGGGGTATTTGTCAGGTTTTGCTACCTGTGTTCCTGTGGAGGATATTTATTTACCCTCCCTACCTATCCTAGTGAGAGAAGTCCTATTACTTCCCCACTCTAAATCTAAACCTAAAGAGTAGAAAAAAAAAAATTATTGTCTTGGACTCTACTTCAATAGTCATTATCCTTAGATTTGGCAGAGAGTGAATACCGAGCCATTACATTAAAATGACATCCATCTGAATTTCTTTGAAATGGACCCCAGTGATAACAAAAAATGGTTGTCAAGCAGAGTGAAGAAATCTGTTTCTCTTCAAACCAAATAAGAGTGAGAATTATCACAGTATTAATGTTGGTTTAGTTTGTTCACATTTGAATTCCATTACAATCGTGAAAATGTATTCATATACAGTATTTGAAAACAGATTGTAAACGTATAACATGTTCAACTTCCTTGCTGCTGCCGTAAGCCTAGCTTTTACACTGAATGTTATTTAAGCCTAGCTTTCAGGGTGTGTTCACACTTTGTCCGGACCAGATCTGAAATCAGATCTGCAAATGCTATGCAATGCATGTTTGCCACGTTCTGGTGCATATTAATTTTTTTAGCTTAAAATGGGCTTTCAGGTGCAGTCCAGTGCGTTTGCATGCATTTTGATACTTACCTCTATCTACCTTTAATAAACTTTGATATAAATGTGTGCATATCTTTCTGTGATATTTAAACACATGTATACAGCACTCACCTATATAGCCCGTCATCGATTTCCATCGAGTCTGCAGCCATTCAGACTTTTCACACCCCTGCTCTGCAAAACAATGACATTAGGAGGCAGTGAGATAACTGTGTGGTCATATTGAGGCCTGAAAATGATCATTAACAGTTCTGAGAAGTCTATAACGGATAGATCTGTCTACCAAGATTATTCCAGAAACACATTTTAACCACAAACTATGTATTTTGTCATATTAAAAAACAACCCCAATATGAAATCCATCCATTGACCAGAGTTGCAAAATACAGTGAATTGAATGATTTGGAGAAATCCGAACTTTATCCTAAAAATAAACAACTAACTTGATGCCATTATTAACTATTTGAGCAATATTATTATTTTACGATAAAACTAACATTGTAACTAACAATTTGCCAGCAGAAATAATGTAAATTAAAAAAATACTTAATAATTTTATAAATAATTGTAATCACCGCTTTCTTCAAAAATGTGTTCATGTCATTAAATTACCAGTTTCCATTAAAATGTGAAATCAGTCATTTGTTTCCTTAAAGGAGAACTATGAGGTGAGTGCTTTTCACTCACCTCATAGTTCTAGCCGACCTGTGACAATGAGACTGTCACAGGTCGGCTCAGTAGATCGGGAGGTGAGCGAACACATACCGGCGTTCGCTCACCTCTCGATCCTGTCACGGCTCTCTGCTGTGACACGGGAGGGGCTGGATTGCCCCCTCCCCGCTCTGCCAGCGCTGACTGGCGGAACGGACGGGGGAGGGGGCGGGTACAGCTGGCTCTGGCTCTAGATAGGCAGAGCCAGCTGTCAGTCACACAGCTGGGCGGATCCAGACATAATTGTCGGGATCCGCTTCAGCTGCGGCGTCTCAGTATACCGCGAGTGATAGCTCGCGGTATACTGAGCCTAGGGTGACGGGAGGACACGGTATACTGAGCCTAGGGTGACGGGAGGACACGGTCAGCTCACGGTATACTGAGCCTAAGGAGAACTATGGGGGAAAAGCCTTAACCCCATAGTTCTCCTTTAATAAAGACATACGGTTTATCCCAGATATAATGTCGTTTAGAAGAGCCTTTTTCAGTGTTTTAACCCAGAGGAACCCCTAAAATAATTTTCAGATTTCGGGGGACACTTACCAAAATAATTTAATCAGGGTCAACGGGACAAATGCCTCATACATTGGTGATCAGTAAGAAAAATGTCTCCCTTACAGACAAGGAAAATATTGTTGGTGCCGCTAGCTCTGCAAAGTAGTCCTGGCTCTGGAACTATGCAGCAACCAACCACAGCTCCAAGAATCCCCAGCAACCTCTAGAACAGTAGTTCTCAACCTGCGTAACCTCAGGACCCACATTTGTCCTTGGTCATTAAGTCGTGACCCAAGTCGCACTGCAATGGAATGCGACTATGGAATTGCGGTACAGTGCATTCAGGTGTGGGCAATCGAACTGTGGGTGGGAGGTACGTTTGGGGTGCCATTCAAATGAATAGCAACGCAACACCCCTCCTACACCAGAACATGTGGTAGGTCCACCCAGTCTCCCTACCCTACAAGAACTGGAGTGGATCCTCAGCCTGGGGTCCAGTTTGGGCTACTGTGACGGAGCTCTATCCATATGTGCATTGCTTGTACAGCTCCTTGCATGCCCCGTAGAGGTGTCAAGAGCCAGAATGTGAGGTCACTCCAGTCCAGGCACCTCTACAGGACATGTGAGGGAGCTGTAAGCAATGCACGTATGGATGGAGCTCTCTTTTGGCCATAGCCCCATCTCACCCCACCTCAAGCTGACACTCCAGCATATTTTGAATGGCTGCTTGGCACGAGAACAGACAGCGCTGCACTAGGGGGAGGCTGAAGAGCCTCTCACCTAGAAAAGTGGAAGGCATGTGGCAACCCACTTTTGGGTCACAACCCACCAGTTAAGAACCAAGGCTCTAAAAGAACCCTAGGGTTCCATGGAATACTGGTTGAGAATGGCTGGTCTAGAATATTGGCTTGTTTTTCACATCTACATCCACTGACTTTAGGCTTCTTAGCCTTTGCCAGCAAAAAACATGCATGCTGTCTGACAAATTCTGCTGCGGGAGGTGCGTTGCGGTGTTATTCAATTCAATGACACCCCAAAACGCACCTCCAACCTGCACAGTGTGATCACCTTCCTGCAGTGTGAAGTGCGGTGCAATTGAGAAAATTGTGCATGCAGTTAATTTCTGAAGTAAACTTTATGTTTGTAACACTGCATTTGTGTATTCTATTTTAAATTAAGGATGGTATTTATTTTTTTACCGCCTCCCGGCCGGCCGTTGTGACATAACGGCTGGCCGGGAGCTTCCTGGATGTAACAGGCCGTGTATATACGGCATGTTAGCTCCCCTCACTCGAGCAGGAAACCAGCAAAATGTAAAAACAGGCATCAATGCCTGTTTACATACAAGCAATCGCTTGTATTGGGTGCCGATCGGATCAACCCCCCCAACCCCCCTGTGCCCCCCCCTTTCAAGCCCGGGATCATGGTGGCTCTCTGACAGGGCATCAGAGGGAGATCAGTACACGATCTCCCTCCGGTCCCCTCTCTGTCAAAGTGTGGAAATGATGTATATTACATCACTTCCGCATTCTTGTGTCACTCTCCAGCTTCAGAAGCAGGAGAGAAGATGAAGAAGCAGATCTCTGCTTCATCAGCTTCTCTCGGGATCCCTAAGTGACATTAGGGGTCTTGGAGACCCCTGATGTCTCCATAAAGAGGACCTGCCACATCTCTTTGCTATCACTTAGGGTGGTTTCTTAGGAATATATAGGGGGAAAAAAATTAAAGTTGCAAAAAAAAAAGTCCCCACCCATGGTGTCGGGTGCGCATACGTGCGAAAACAACGATTGTACCCATTAAGTCGCACATGTTACATATATCGCCGCGAACGTCGCAGTGAGAGCAATAATTCTAGGGCCATTATTCACTGATAACACTAAACTAATGAGCGGTAAAAGCTTTTAAAGCGTCGCCTATGGTCAATTTTGGGTATGGTAGTTTTCTGCGATATTGCGGGTGCAATTTTAAAGCTCGACAAGTTTGGTATCTATTTACCTGACGTGACCCCGTCTTTTATATTTGACCAAAAAATTGGGTAAGGAAAAAAATATTATAGCAATGTAAGAAGTTTTTTTTTCAAACTTTTCAGTAATTTTTCCTTTACATGGTACAAAATAAAAACCCCAGTGGTGATTAAATACACCCAAAAGAAAGCTCTATCTGCCCCCCAAAAATGGTATAAAATGCATTTCAGTACAGCGCTGCATGACGGAATAAATGTCAAAGTACTGCAGCGCTAAATACTGAAAAATGGCATGGCCAGGAAGGGGGTGTAAACACCCCGGTCAGCAAATGGTTAAACTAATCACTTATGAAAATAATTGTTAGCTGCAGCCCTAAAGTAGTACATTACTTAGTTTTTTTTTATTTACACAGATTGTTCCCCTTGTTATCATGCAGTCCAAACTGATTCAAAAAAGTTTTAACAAGAAGATTTAAAGGAGTATAAAGCTAACCATACGCCTGATCAATGCCAGCATCCAATCAGATTGCTCAGGTATTTTGAGAGCCAGTTGGGCCGACCAGCGAGATACTGAAGCTTGGCCCAGTGGGAGATTCCTCCATTTTTTCCATCTCACCATAGAAATTCTGCAGAAAATCTATTGCTGTATGGCCAGCTTAAAAAGGCAACTGTTTTAAACACCCATGGCCAGTTTCAATCCTTGCCAATCCTGCTAGCCAGCTTGGATGAGAAAAAAAAAAAAGAAAAAAAAGGACTACATATAATGATTATAATTAATATAAGACTATATAAATGTATTATAAATGTGTTAATTACATGCAGTTATCTGAATGCAATATGTCTTACAACAGCGGGCTTTAAAAGCAAGCACGTGCTGCCAAGACAGGGCAAAGCATCAGGTTTATTTTAAAGTGGAACTGAAACCAAAACTTTTTTGTTTTAGGTTTGGACGGGAGGTTTATACTTGTGGGTATGGGGCTCATGTGACTCACATGTCACAGCACTGGTGCTTGGCTGCTTACGTACCCAGCAAAGTCACATCGTGCAGGGAGAGAGTACTTAACAAAGTAAAAGTTTATTTATGACACGTATTTATATACTGCCAACAATTTACGCCGTGCACATTCACATCAGCCTCTGCCATCAAGGAGCTTATCATCTAAGATCCCCAGCTTACATTCTATGGCTAATTTGGACAGGAGCCAATGAACCGCCCAGCATGTCTTTGGAGTGTGGGAGGAAACCAGAGTACATGGAAGAAACCCAGGCAAGCACAGGGAAAACACGAGAGAAAGAGAGACCCACATAGTATTTTTTTTTTCTTACAGCACTTGGACAGATCACATGACTATAGTGGGCCGACCCTTCAACTTAGGAGGCAGTGACTGGAACCCATGTGACAACATCTACACAGCAGGAACAGGACAGAGTGCTCACATTTGTTATTACCTTCTGATTTAAAGTGACCACAAGGTCAAGCACCACCTGTCAAAGATAAAGAAAGCTCTATACTTCTCTTTCCAGCGGCACATCTGTTACAAATCTGCCGCTTTGCTTCTTCCCTGGCCACAGCAGGTATTCATCTGGTCACATGGCTAAAATACCAGTTACCCATGCCACATGCTATAGTTTCATTCTTGGCTTGCATGTCCTGTAGTGACATACACAGCAAGTGGCAGGGGGAGCAGGCAACCTCCACACTCCAGCTGTAGTGGAACTCCCATGAGGCACTGCAAGACTTTGACGGACGAGGGCATGACTTCCAGAAGAAAAGGCATGATGAGATTTGTAGTATCACCACAGCTGAATGCTAAAGGTTCCCTAAAGGTGCCCACACACCTTACGATAGTCGTACGATAATCGCGGGAAATCCCGTGATCGTACGATTATCGTAAGGTCGCACGACTTTTATCTTAGGAAAGTGTTCGAAAACCCGCCGAGAATCGTACGAGTTTCGGCGGGTGTGTAGCATGTTCGTAAACTAAAAGCCAGACGGGCCGGTGCGTGCACACTGCACGTTCAGCATTGTGGTCATCAGAAGCCCGCCCCTGGCCCCTCATCGCAAGTACGATCTGCCTGTCCAAGATAGGCAGATTGTACGTTTTTTTTAATTACCTTACAACCATCGCAAGACAAAAGTCTTGCAATGGTTGTAAGGTGTGTGCCCAGCATAACCCTGGTATAGAGCCTTACCTTTTACAGGGCGTGCTTTGTGTACTAGTCACTGGGTTACTTTTAAAAGGCAATGAAGAACTTTACCATATAGATGTGGTCGACATTTGACTGCTTTTAGAGCACCTCACCTTAAAGCCCTCCTAGTTATACCGGAATGAAGAATTATTCTAAAAGCAGCCCAGAACAAATGAGGTCAGATGGGAGCTTTTAAGCTGCATCCAGGGCTGTCCCTCGGTAAATCACTGCCTGAGAAAATGGTGTTCCAGGGGTAGGTGCGGTCAGGGAATGGGTGGTGGGGGGTGTAAGCGTGCATGGCTGTTTTGTTTGAAGAGGGCGGCAACCTGCCCAGCTCATTGACGTCACTGATTGTCAGGAGTTAGGGGGGGACGCAAGCCACTCGGCTCCTGGCAACCAGGGATGTCAGTGAGTTGGGCGGCACCACACAGAGCATCACAGGTTGCCAAACTGGGATGCTGTGTCCGCCCCCCACCACCCGGCCGCTCCCTAATGAGGTGCTCCTTGAGGCAACCAGCCCAGGCTGGCTCAAAATAGGAATGGCCCTGGCTACATATTACACGTTAATAAAGTAGTAGTATTGAATGAGATTAATAGTGTTGGCAGCACAGATCAACAGATCTCTTTGCTTCGCCCTGCACGGCTTCGCGCGCAGTGTGTCACGGCCTTAAGGCCCCTGCATATCACCAGTTGTCACGCTAGGACAGGAAGTGTGTTACTGGAAGGATCACCGGGTGAAAACTAATGCAGCCACCACATGCCACTGCACAAAACACACAACGGCTGGTGCCCCATTACAATGCCGATCTTAGCACATCACACTTTAAAAAAAACAAAAAAAAACTTTGTTTAAATATCAAAAGTGACATTTCATTAAGTTCTATGGACACAGCAGGGTGTGAGGCGGTTGTATTTAAAGATAAGTATAGAGCTTTATCTTTAACAGATAGTGCTTGTTTTTCCCAGGGCAGCCCCCAATGCAAGACAAGGCACATCACCTCATATGACGTGAATGGGCCCTTAAGCTGCAATACATCCCATTTGTTGTCTAGGGTTGAGGTACACTTTAAAAGTGTACACAATGCTGCATATCTTGGTGGTTTTCTAGATGTGTCCGGAGTTCAGCTTCATAATCCTCATTGAAAGAAAATACCTAAGTGACCTTACCCTCCAGGTCATAGATTATCACCCATTGCTTACATCACCTATGAATGACAGGTCGCTCTTTTATGTTTAAATGTCCAAAGTCACTGAAGTGGAAGATAAGTTGTCATTTGCTAGCATTCTTCTAACGCTCCACAAACAGCGACAGTGAGGTCCACAAACGGTCCGGTTTCCTTCCTATTCTTCTGGAAGGAGATGCACCCCCCATTGAAATGTGTCAGCAGGTTTCTGCTGCTGCACTGACAAAGCTCTGATCAGTAAACGAGGCTGCCGTGCACACGGGAGACCCATCCACAAGCACACAGGTCACCCCTCACCACAGCATCTCCATTGGCTACACAGGTAATGAGCTACTAACCTGGACTACTACTGCAGCTTCTACAGTTCCTTGTCGGCCGGGGAGAGAAAACGAGAGAGAAAGATGTCAAACTACAACTCCCACAATCCCTTTCACCGGTAGGGCGGAAGCGGAAGATGTTCAAATTAACACAGCTTTATTAAAAACGGCCAACAAAGCCGCATTTTCCCGTAATATCCCGCGCAGGGAGCGGCTTGGGTTTTCTCTTGTAGATAGTTTAGTGTTAAAGATTAACAAGGTGTTGGCAAAACAAATTCGCCTGGCTTTGAGCTAGCAATAGTTTATTATAATGAAGGGAATTGTATAACCAAAAACTTTTTTTGTTTTGAAGCTTTAGATTTCAGGTTTTCAGACTGATAAATTACCAAAGCGTTATCATTCTGCCTGTTAAACACTTGCTGACCGTGGTGTTTACACCCCCTTCCTGGCCAGGCCATTTTTCAGTATTCAGCGCTGCGGTACTTTGACGTTTATTTCGTCATGCAGTGCTGTACTGAAATTAATTTTATACCATTTTTTTTGGGACAGCTTTCTTTTGGTGGTATTTAATCACCACTGAGGTTTTTATTTTGTACTATATAATGAAAAAAGTACCGAAAACATTGGAAAAAAAACTGTTTTCCCTACATTATGGTATAAAACATTTGTAAATACCCAAATTTTTGGTAAAATATAAAAGACGGGGTCACGTCGGGTAAATAGACACCAAACATCGAGCCTTTAAATTGGGCGGAATCGGCAAAAACTACCATACCCAAAATTGGCCATAGGCGACGCTTTAACCCTTTCGCTGCCAAGGACGTACGGAGCTACAAAAGTGCTTCCAGCTGGCCAGCTCAGTACGTCGTACGGACCTGGCATTTACAGTTCTACTATAAGCTGATGGTCGCTTATATAGATGGTCGCTGATGGTTGACCCCCCCC